TGAGTCAGATCAAGTGGCATCCCTTTCAAACCAGAAAAACTAGCCTGGGCTTGCCTAGCAGTACTGGGGTCCAGATCTCTGTCTCTTCTTAGCAGCCATTTTGGTGGGGTCAGAGAAGGGCCTGGGGAAGGACCTGCCTGTCACATGCTCTTCACATTAGCCCTTAGGTAACATAGTCCCTTGAGGCTCCCTAACAGTGTGACTGATTAGCTTGGGAGGGTGGCCAGAGAGCGGGCCGACTGAGAGGCAGGGCAAAGTCTCGGAGGGAAGATGTCAAGCAGTTGTTGCCTAGGGTAGGAGGCCTAATAGACCTCTGGTTAGAGCTTCTCAGGAGACAGTGGGTATGGGGGAACACCATGAAAGCTCTGAGACATCAAAGGGGATGTAGAGAGGCCAGCCTGGGCTACATGAGTCTCTGTCTCAGAATAACTCAGTAACAACAGCAACAAAACTAGGGGCTGGAGAAATGGCTCAGTGGTCAAGAGCACTGCTGCTCTTGCAGAGGACCTGGGTTTGGTTTTCAGGACCCACATAATGGCTCACAATTGTACATAACTCCAGTTCCAGGGGAATCCAGTGCCACCTTCTGGTCTCCATGGGCGTTGTGCACATGTGGTACACTTGTATACGTGCAGACAAAACACTCTTACACATAAAATAAAAGTAAGGAAATTAATTAAAAAAACAAAACATGGAGCTGGAGAGATGGCTCAGCAGTTAAGAACACTGGCTGTTCTTGCAGAAGACCCAAGTTCAAATCCCAGCACCCACATGGCAACTAACAACTGTCTGTAACTCCAGTCCCAGGGGATCTGACAGACTCTTCTGTCCTCTGCGGGCATTGGATGACGTATATGTGGGCAATACACACATACGTATAAAAATAATAAATAATAAATAAAATTTAAAAAAAAACATAAAATGGGGGACAAGAGATGGTAGTTTACTGTAAATTTAATTTCCCAGAGTTTCTTTTGGTCCTTGAATATCCCTTTAATGAAAAAAAAAAAAAAAACCCACCGTGTTCTTGTTTCTTGGGTGCAGTCTCTCATCTCTGAGTTTTCTCCCTGTATTGTCTGAGTTTCTGTTTGCTGTTTATTTGTTTGATCCTCTTCTCTGACCTAGAGGGTTATCTTCAACAGGTTGATACTTCTTGGCTGTTCCTATTTGTTTGTGAAAATCTGTTTGGAGACTTCTCTCTATTGACAGGGACTCAGCTGGAAATGAGAGATTCTGTTCAGGAGGGGCTGGGGGCGGCTCTCAGAAGTAAATGCACCCAAATTTTCTTCCCTACAACACCCTGCTTTTCATTTGGGTTTTCCAGAAAAGCCTCCACCAGTGTCCTTGTCTGGTAGACCCAGTGTTCTAGGGTTTGGTCAGAGAAGGGTGTTCCAGTGCCTGGGCAGTCTGTAGATAGATTTCTAGTGCAAGATCGGTTTGGCCTCCAGTTAACTCAGATGCCTGCTGAGGTAGAAGAGTAGCTGCTGGGGCACAGCAGAGACTGGGAGGCCTTAGCTGTCCAGTAGATGGTGAACTGGTCCTACATTCAGCTCTGCTTCCTGCCTGCCCTCACAGGTACTTAGCACCTCCAGTTCCTGAGCCCGCCCCCGCCCTTTTCTCTCTGGGCTTGTTTCCGCAGCTGTGTTGTAGGTTTTTGGTATTTGTTTTTCTAATCTCATCTACTAATGCTTCCTTCCACTTTCATTTTCCAGGCGTGTGTTGACGTGTCTTAACTCCTGTCTGTCCTTTACCACTGAGCTATACCTTCAGCCCTCTTCTGTTTTATTTTGAGACAGTGTCTTGCTAAATTTCCAAGGGCACTCCTTAGCCTCCTGCCACCTCACAGCTGGGATTATGGGCATGCTCCACCACACCCAGCTTGGAGGTTTATTCTTTTATTTAACATATATATATATATA